GACGGAAAGTGTGGGACCAACTTTTGCTGCAGCTACAATCATCGTTTCCTGATTCACTGCAGTAATCGCAACTTTTCCGAGACTCTGACCAATCGCATGAACGTTTTCAGCGTTTCCCTCCTTTCTGACCAATCACTGCAACTCCTCTGAAATCGGTCAAAATGACCAGAAGTTGAATTAAAGTTGGTCCCTTTTCAATTCAACTTCCTGTTTCACTGTATCAGATGAAAGCAGAATCGAACAAAAACACGCATGATGCTAAATGGTAACATTTAGCCTTTTTTTTTTTTTTTTTTTGAGATATGATTTGTGCAAACTCCACGTCTCATTTAATGGCAAAATTCGACATGGTTGGAATATTAAAGTTCTGCACGGAAACGCAGTGACTGTTGCTTTCCGCTTGACTAAAATAAATCTTTCCAAAGAGTCAGAATTGTCGCTTGAAATACTTTTTGGAAAAAGTTTCACTGAAGCCAGTCATTTCAGGCTGCAACGGTCACAGGATGATGCGCTTCGTTAGTTTTCCTCAACACTGAGCTTTTTGCATCTGTCTGAAAAGTTTAATCTGCACCTTATTTTTTATGTAACACAAAAAGTGTTAAAAACTTGTGGCCCATATTTAAATTGCTACTTTTCAGCAAATTGCTAAAATGGCCACATCTCACTGTCAGCGAGCAAAGTGTTGTTTTTGTTTTTCTTCTTTTTCTCCACTGACTCGTTGTTTGCTGCACCTCAGCAGCCCCTTTCCGTCTCTTCGCGGTTTTCGGCTTTAAGCCGCCTACTGAGCTGTCGCGCTGCACAATAGATTAATCATTTCATTAAAATTCAATTTGGCGTTTAGTCACAAGCGTGACCCGTGTCTCGCGGGAATATTCATTAACAGTAACTGACAACAAACCCAGCAGTCATGATGAGGAGACATAATGTGCGACTCCAAAACGAGACACGGGCGTCGTTCTGAGGGTGACGGCTGAACGGACGGGCGACTGATGCTGCAGCCAGGCAGGCGGGCTGCAGTTTACAGAGCCATAAATACAGTACAGGGAAAAAATGATTCATCTCGAGGGGGAAAAAAGAAAAGAAAAACGTGAAAATGTAACATTTTTGACTTTTGGAAAAGTTTCAACTTTTGAGGTTTTTGAGAAAACCTCTGAGATTAGTCTCTAAAGTGTCTTTCTAGAAAGTCTTCAACTTTTCAAGCTCAGTGATTTCCATGTTGTTGTTTTTTTTTTTTTTTTTTTTTTTTTTTTGTTTCTAGAATATTTCTGAGGTTAATTTCAAAATGTTGCTGTTTTTTGTAAAAAAAAAAAAAAAAAATATTTTTTTTCTATTTGCAAAATCCCTATGACGCTGTTTTAATCGGTGTGAGTTGCCCTGTTGAAGCCACATTTAAAAGTCCCACAGTGAATCTTGAACTCAAACCTCTGTCACCTAAAAATAAATAAAATAATAAATAAAATGGAAATTACAGAGTTCAGACCATTCCAATATATTTATTGAGCCCTTTATGTCATACAATTATTCTGGTAAATTCTTTAACAGCTTTTTTTAAATTCATCAAACACAGTCCTGCAGTTGTCAAGGCAACATTGCTGTTTTTCATCGTGACTTGCTGCTAAGTAAAAGCCTTTCTTCCTAAAGAGTTTGAGAGATTGAGCCACGTCTTCCTATCAGCTCGTCTAGATTATTTTAAATTCCTTTGTTGGCTCAGATCGGTCATCGTTTCCCCGTTTGCAGCTTGCAGAAGATGCTGCTGCTGCTGGTCTGTTAACAGGAAGCAGTGAACAGGAAACGGTTGGAACCAGAAGTTTACATACACTAAATAAAAACCATTTGTTGCACTGTCTGAAGTAAAATGAGATCAAACTGCTCTTATTTCAATTTGTCAAATTCCACAATAACGAGAAAAAGAAAATGTCAGATTTATTTATTTTTTTTGTCATCTTGTTAAGAAACATTTTTCTTATGTAATTTTTCACAAATATCAGCGCAATGTGGAATGAAAGTGAATCCATCCTGAACATGAAAAAGATTCAGTTAAACAGTGGCACTTAAATGTGACAGCAAATTGTTCCTAGTTGATATTTATCAAACAATGGCTCAAGTCATTTTTTGACAGTTTATTATTTTTTTCCCACTTTTTTCTGCTTAAATCATCTTTTGGCATTAGGAAGTGGGTGATTTATTTTTTTTTAAATTTTTTTCCCCGAAATCACTTTTGACAAAAAATAGACTTAGGAAGGTGACAGTATAATAAAGTTAAAAAAACCACTTTTTTAAAAAAAAAAAAAAGAACATGTACTATTTGCGCCTCTGAACGACTTTTTGTTTGCATGACATAAAAATGTCTCTGTATTGTTGATTGTACAGGTTGCAAACGCCTGCATTTGACCCTCGCTAACTTCCACATACTTTCACCACAAACCAGCAGCAAACCCAATCATTTCTTCGGTTTGGAGAAATAAAAGCTGAAGGGGGAATAAAACCCCTAGCAGTTTTTGTTCTTTCAACCCTCTGAACTTTATGATTCCATAAATCTACTGAACAAGCTACATCCACGCTAAAGCTGAAATCACTTCCAAATCACACGTCTCTATTTCAGAGGCATTTATGTTCCCTGAATATTTTGGTGTTTTACGGGTTAAAACCTGTTTCCAGTGCATAAGCAATCCAATTTATTAGCTCCGAAGGGCCAGAACATCCATTTATTTTTGTTTCAAGTCCATCTGCCGTGAATATTTCTCTGGAGCCGGAGCAGAGAAGCAGCCGGCCGATGTGATGTAGTTGAATATTGATTGCACCAATTTAAAATATCTACCTCCTTAGAGCAATTGAAACACACACACACACACACACACACACACACACACACACACACACACACACACACACACACAGTTAAGTGAATAAGCATCCCACAGAGTCCACTTATCAACACTAGTCCACGTCTCTCAGTGCCCTCGGAGACGGGGAGTTATTCTCGCGGCGCCCCCTCTGGCAGGCAACAGAAGGACGCGTGCTTCTGCTGCCTGAAAATGCTCTTCACCTTCCTGCTCTAAAAGCAGGAAGGTGAAGAAAAGTCTGTAATTTTCATTCTTCAGCTTCACATGAATCACATTTCAGTGGCTCTGACAATACAATAATGGAAAGATTTAACAAAGAAGGTTCGACACCGACTCACAGTGAAGGTTTCTGAAAGAAAAATGACAATTTTTTATATTTTTTTTATTTCATGAACGGCAGAGTTTTGCAATGATCAAAATTCCTTATTTTTCAAGGTCAGCAGAGGTGTCGCACCTCGAGTTCTCTGAAAAAGCTTGGTGCATAAATCTGGCCGGTCGTAGATTTTTACGTGGCCCTTTAAACTCCTAGTTCCATCAATAAGTCCTTCCAGTTTTTCACAAATCTGCAAAATTCACACAAAATTGAGTCTCCGCTTTTTTTTTTCTCTGAATTTTACTGCCTTTTTTTTCTTTCTTTTTTTTCAGAATTGGTCGCAAAGTGACAGCCGCCTCAGTCTTACTTGTTGTCAAGTCAGAATTGATAATAAGAGCAATAAAAAGCCACATTTAACATCATACATTTGGACAAACATTGTAAGATTCCTCATAGACATTTCTGAAATCTGCAAATCTGATTGGAAAAAAAAGAAAATCATTAAAACAGTCACAAAATCCTGCAGGAACAGCTGCTTACTGATATTTTAATATTTTAACAATTCAATTGGTTTTATCAATATATTCTGGCACAACCAGTCCTTCAAGAACGTTCAGATTTTTGATACGGCCCAAAATGAACCTTCACTCTTTTGTTCAGGCAAAAGCTACACCTAGACGTAAACCCACCAGCGGTTGGGCAGTCATTACTGACCACCCTACTGCTGGTGGATGGTCGAAATGAAAAGCGCAATATAGGTCCAGTTTATTTAACAGTTCGGACCGCCGTGTCCTTGCCATCTTACTGTTACTGATTCCAGATCTTTGGCTGTTCTTGCAAACCGTGGGTTTCGATGCGTCTGTGTGTTCTTGGACAAATGTTAAATCCTCAAGAAAGCCCAAAAATGCTGTTAAAGTTCTTCAAAATGAAGTTCTGTAATCTTGCTAAAGTGGCATTCCTGAGCTTCGTGTTTTTCCCTCTTGTCCTTTTTAATTACTTTTCTCCAAACGCCGAGGTTCCATGATCCCAGTCCTGCTGGTTTTCATGTTGCTACCTTGTTGAGGTTTTCTGTAATAACTCTCCACTTATGGCTTCATGCCTCTTTTGAAAGCACCGAGTCTGCTGTGCAGACACAACCATATCCTTTGAACGCAAGACTAGTTCGAGGAATGTGACTTATTGAACTTGTCATCAACAATAAATAGCCTTGGCCAATGATGCCTCTCGCCAGCGGTTGTTCTGACAGGCCCAGGCTGAAAATGTCAGCTTGTTATATAGCTGTCATCTCGGACTCGGTAATGAGGGAGATGATACCGCTCAGGCCAGAGCTCCCAAACAGGTAACGTCAGTCAGACATGGGGGGGTCAGACTCGTGTTTCAGGCTTTGTGTGTCACTTCCTACTTTTGACCGAAGCCAGCCGCCATCGTCAAGCTGTATTTCCGCCAATTACTGTCCCAGTTTGAGAGAAAATTGTTGGACAATAATGGGGATCCCTCGGCTGCTCTGCCAAGAGGTAATTGCCTGGCTCCACACGGACGCTGGATTGTACCGAGTCGCTTTTTGGGGGAGTGGAACAAGGTGATGGAGGACAATTTAAGCATTTTTCTCTTTTCTGTCTTCTTGTATTTATTTATTTTTTAGCTAAAATCTGACTCTGCTTATATTAAAAGTACCAGTTTAACTTTTCCACATTGTGCTATGTGACAACCACAAGATTTTAGGAGATTTTTATGTGCTGGAACTACAAAAAAGTTGTGCACAATTGTGAAGGAGAAAAATAAGAGGAGAGGCGTTGTGAGCGAAACGGCTCCTAAATGAGGGGTGTTTTTGTTTTACCCTCCAGGATGAACCAGGCTCCTACCAGTGGATTCGAGGAGGATGTCGGGACACGCACCACTCACCATGTCATGTACCCAGAGAGCGCCATGGACTTGGACAACAACACCAGCCTGGTTCTGATCCCGTTCAAGACTCTGGACCTGCAGTGGATCGTCAGCGCTCTGACCACTGGCACTATCACACAGTAAGAGCTGCGAGAGAAGCTGCAGCTCCACTGAGCTCTGAGCTCAAATATGAGCGACGGACGAAGCGTGATGTGAAAGTCAAACCCAAGAAATTAGCATCAGCTAAATTCAGCATCAACAGGTCAATCAGACTGGAAATCTCACTAGAATCAGTTTCTGTGCATCTGATGTTTGGCATCATCACTGGAAAAAGCAATAAGGCAACACAGAAATTACCTGTTCAGAAATGTGTGTAACAACATAATCATTATTGGGTTTTTTTTTTTTTTTTTTGCCTTGTTTCAAGTTTTTGTTCTCATGAATATTGTACAGGTAGTCATAAAGTAAAACAAAAAAGTTTGTTTTTCTCTCTCGGTGTGAGAAGGAAAAAAATTACCCACTTTCTCGCTGCAGAGGCATCATCATGCATGCTGCATGTATCACACTCCCAGCATCATTTCCACTCCGCTAACACCAGATTGCCATCCAGTCACACTCTCCCGCGTTTTCTATTCGTCTCTTTGCCACAACAAGGATAATCACTTTGGTTATTATTTTTTCCTCCTCCTTCTTCTTCTTTTCCAGCACATTTCACCTTCTCTGTCACTTACCCATAATCATTAGCTCAACTACTGGACGCGCAGGGATGAAACGGAGCCGCTGCCAAGCAGAGCCGTGGCACATAAATCAGTCGTGCCGCGACGCAACACGGTGGGAGTTTCCGAGCGAATGTGGCTCATGGCGGTGGAGCGCCTCAGCAATCCGTCTGCGTCGTTAAATCTGAACTCCACCGGCGGAGATGTCGGCTTTGGCCGACGGCGGCCTTCGGGTCGCCGTGGGTCCTTGCCGCGTTTCCGGCGAGACCGGGCTCCGGGCGTCGAAGGACGCGGGGCTGTTGGTTCAAATTTGCGTAACGAGGAGACGTTTTTCACGCTAACCAAACATGGGCTCAGCAGCAGGTGTCGCACACACACCTTTCTATTTAAATATTTGGTGTCTATGTTTGGAGCTTCACACCAGATGCTCTCGTGTTAAAAAAAAATGGAAAAAACAAAAGAACGAGCTTTACTTTGGTGTCTGCCTCGGTATCTGGATTTAATTGGCTCAGTTCGCTCAGGCTTAATGAAGAAAGACACTGGACATTCATTTTATTCACCATCTGTCACTTTTGAATGAAGCCATTTAGATGTGTTATTATTCTGGAGCTCTGGCTTAAAAAGAGGAATATGACTTTGTATGTGTGTCTCTTGCAGCACATATTTACCAGTTAAAGCCAGGATAAAGGCGAATAAAGATAAGGTAGGCTCACATATTCATATTAAATGTATTTTCTTGATTAAAAACGCAATGTAACTTAGTTTCTGCTTCTTTATTTGTTTTTGTTTGTTTATTTCAGGTGTTGATTTATAGTCCAACTTTTTTCAAATATGTCCACGAGTCGTGGCTCGAAGGTCACGGGCGATATCCGTCGACTGGCTTCCTCAGCTTGCTGCTTGCTCTCCACATATGTGACGAGGTAAGCTGCACCTCTCCAGTCCAGCAGCATCGTCTGTCCGTACCGCGCTGTTCTCGCATGCTTCATTATTTTGTCCAACAAAGGGAGCTAAAGTAACATGGATCTGGACTGAGCCACGCTGCTTTCCAAAAACATTTGTACCGCTTGAACCTCAGTGGAGGCACCGATTGCGAACGCTGCAATCGCTGACTGGCGCGGCTGAAACTCTTCGGGAGAAATCCAGGTCATGAGAGAAAGGCCAGATGGAGCTGTGAAGGGAGATGAGAATCGAGTTGAATTGCGTTGGAAGGCAATGACCAGACTACAATAATTGACATGTTGACAAAATTGATGGAAAAAAAACCAGAAATCTACCCAAACCTGATTCAAATCTTCGATCAGGGAAAGCGTCGCCGATATTTTGATTGCTTTGAACATCAGAAGAGTCAGAAAACTGCACCTTTACTGTAATCAATATCCTTCCCGCAATTTCCAAGTCATAGATTCATAGTTGCATGTTTTACTGACAATAGCTGAGGGCTACTGTTGATGATTTTACATTTCATTGGTTTGTCATTTTATTGGGATTGGTTTTTCTGTTTCAGGTCAGCGTGTTCGGCTTTGGCTCCGACCGGTACGGAAACTGGCACCACTATTGGGAGGAGAACCATTTGGCCGGAGCTTTCAGACACACTGGAGTCCATGACGGAGATTATGAATATAATGTCACCTTGCTGCTGGCGGACAAGCACAAAATCCGAATGTTCACTGGCAGATGATACCAAGCATGGGATGACCAGCGAATGAACGTCAAATGATGGGAGGGGGGGGGATAAAAAATACAAATAAAATACTAATTTTATCATGTCTGCAAACATGTCTGTTTGACCTCTTTTGTTACAGGCTGGTTATTTCTCACTAGCTGAAGCTGCTGGCACGGTAATTAGAAACCAATAAAGCTTTCTGTCAAACAGGCGAGACAAAAAGCAACACCACAACGTTCCACCGCAGACTGAGCAGCCAGGAGGAACATAAAAATGCATGCCATATTAAAATGCCAATGTCACATGATTAAACGTTTCCATCTGCTTTTTTTTTCTCTCCTAAACAACTTAAATTTATTTATTTTTTCTGTATGACTTTCTGTGGACATCTTAAGCTCTTGTGTTAATGAAATTGAAAAGAATACAGCTGTTCTCTCAGCAGCAGAAAGACAAAGTGCTACATTATACTCCTGATGTATGCGTATGGAGACCTGAATTGCTAAAACGGCCCTTTTTCTTTTTTTTTTTCTTTTTTCTTTTGAAGCTGCTAAGCCCTGCATTTATGGGCAAAAAAATAAAAACTAGTGTCAGAACCCTATTGACTAAGGTGTAAATCATATTCATAAATCGACACAATGCGAGAGTTGAGGCGTCTTGGTTTAATGGCCGTCATGACAAAGTCTCGGTTGTTTTTATTGCGCCGATCAATTCTCACATTGCTCATTTCCATCACGTCGCTCCTTTGCCTGTGTCCTTGCAGATGCTTGACGATCGAAGATCATTCTCAGAACTTATCCCCCAAGGAACGCATTTTATTACAATGTAACTTTTATGAAATATATATATATATATATATATATATATATATATATATATATATATATATATATATATATATATATATATATAACACCCACTGGGCTTTCTTTATGCCTTCAAGAATAACTGATGCTGTTGGCCTTCAAACATTAGTATCCAAACTGGGAACATTTCAGTCAAACAAACATTCAGTTTTTCTTTAATTATTTTTATGTTTTGGTAATTGAAAGTGGATTCAGCCTGTTATTTTTCCCCAAAAAATGTTTTCCGATTTTAAAATGCAATCTAAAAAGGAAATGCATTTACATTCATAGAAAAGTGATTTGTCCTGTTGGTTGTTTAATGGGCTTAAACTTTTAATCATCCGACATTTTTCAGTGATTAGTCTCTTATCACGATGAAGACTTGAGGTGAACTTCAATGTTCTTGATTTTAATTGCCCTCATTTCCCGCCTTTAGCTCTTCCAAACAAACTTTAACCTGCTGACGTTGTGGTGCGTTCCATGACTCTTGGACGTCAGATTAAAGTTTAAAAATATGATCTCGATTTATTGAAGTTGAAATTCCAACTGGGAATGATGGCTAACAAATGTTAGCATGTCAGACAGAGCAAGTCTGACATGCTAACATGCCACTGACAGTTTAACTTGGGACTGGAGCAAGGTTTACTTGGGGATGATGTCATAACAGTTTCTGAGGTAAATGGGGGGAAAAACATTTATATGGAGCTAAATTGGGGCCATAAAGTTTGTTCAAATGAAAAAAATTAGCTGAAAAAATATTATATGAAAAGTACAAAAAAAAAAGTTTCAAATCTTTATAAAAATGTTTTGGCCCTAATTTAGCTTCATGCACTTAGCTACTCTCCTAAAGTCACCATGTTTAAAAAAAATACTTAATGCACTTTCTAGAACAGCTAAATTACTCACCCAGAAGCTATTTCTTCAATCTACTGAAAGTTTGAGCCTTAAGGATAAAGAATCATTATGATTGGGTTTCATATAATATAGCCTGCAAAAATATGCCTTATTACTAATTTATATATATATATATATATATATATAATATATATATATATATATATATGTATATATATATATATATATATATATGGAGGGTTCCATCCCAAATCCAGCACGCTGAGACTGTACACGAGCCGCAAGGACGGAGGCAGAGGACTAGTGAGTGTGAGAACCACTGTCCAGGACGAAACAACTAAGATCCATAAATACATCAGGGACAAAGCCTCAACAGACAATGTGCTCAGTGAATGTCTCAGACAACAGGGAACGGAGGTTGAGGTGCCAGAGATACCATCATGGGAGGACAAACCCCTACATGGGATGTACCACCAGCAAATAACCCAAGTGGCTGATATCAGTAAATCCTACCAATGGCTGGAAAAAGCTGGACTCAAGGACAGCACAGAGGCCCTCATCCTGGCAGCCCAGGAACAGGCCCTAAACACCAGAGCAATAGAGGCCCAGATCTACCACACCAGACAAGACCCAAGGTGTAGGTTGTGCAAGGAGGCCCCTGAGACAGTCCAGCACATCACAGCAGGGTGCAAGATACTGGCAGGGAAAGCGTACATGGAGCGACATAATCAAGTGGCAGGCATAGTGTACAGAAACATCTGTGCAGAATATGGACTGGAAACCCCAAGATCAAAGTGGGAAACACCCCCAAAGGTGGTGGAGAACGCCAGAGCTAAGATCCTGTGGGATTTCCAGATCCAGACAGACAAAATGGTAATGGCGAACCAACCAGACATTGTCGTAGTGGATAAACATCAGAGGAAAGCCGTTGTGGTAGATGTAGCAATACCAAGTGATTGCAACATCAGGAAAAAGGAGCACGAGAAACTAGAGAAATACCAGGGCCTCAGGGAAGAACTAGAGAGGGCCTGGAAGGTGAAGACCACAGTGGTGCCTGTGGTCATCGGGGCCCTCGGGGCAGTAACCCCAAACTGGAGCAGTGGCCACAACAGATCCCAGGAACAACATCAGACATCTCAGTCCAGAAATGTGCAGTCCTTGGCACAGCCAAGATACTGCGCAGAACCCTCAAGCTCCCAGGCCTCTGGTAGAGGACCCGAGCTCAGAGGATAAGAACCACCCGCGGTGGGTGAGAAGGGAATTTTTATATATATGTACATAGTGACAGATTTGGAATGAAAAGTAAGTGCCTTCATGAACAGTTTTTGACATTTATTTTACCGTCAAATTCAGCTGCATTCTGATATTTACAAATTTGTAACGTCTCTGTTATTGTCTGTTCTAATTTAAAAAATAATAGCCTAATAATTCAAACGATATTTGCAGTATAACAATCTAAAAGTTACAGTTAAGATGTCGACATGTGTCAGTTTTTCAGCATCATTCCATGCAGTGGAGGTTTGAAATGAAAATCTATGTGCTAAGATACTGCATGTATTTAAATGTTCATTTATTTCTCTGTGCTGTGGTTGAGGGGGATGAAAGCATATCCATTCACACTCCACAGTGTTTTTTTTGTTTGTTTGTTTTTTCAACAGACTTTTCAGACGTGAAGGTTTGGACTCTGTCTCCTGATTGGTTAAGGTTTGCTCCATGTGCCTTGAAGCCAAACTTTCCATTGTGACCTGCTGTACATGTCTTTGCAAATCTGTAGAGTTGTCTGAAGGCTGTTGTTGTTTGTTGTTCTACAGGGAACACTGTCATCTAGTGGACGAGCACTTGTTCTTTTCATTAATAATCCTGAATAGATGTGATGCAATACTAGCAGTAGATGCTTCATATTTCGCTGTGCGTCTTTTAAATAATATTTTTGAGTGTTTGAAAATCATGGATGAAGCAACATGTCAACTTTGGTGGCCGGAGAAGTTTCGCTGATGTTGACCTGAGTGGGACAGACGGTTGATTAAAATTTAAATAATTTAGTCATCCAGCCATCTGTGGATGCAAAGCCAATCTGTATATTGCTTTTGGATGAAAGATGTGGGGAGGTGGGTGAATTATTCATATGTGATTCAAAAGAGAAATATTTTCTCATAAATAAAAATCAGTATTTTAGATATCATGGTGAGAACTTTTACTGGATGTCCTTTTGTTCTGCAGTGTTTTAAAATCAACATATATCCTCATTATTCCTGTGTGCATTTCTGAAATGACTTCATCAACCACAACTGGAGAAATTAATTATCAGCGTTGTTTGCATCTCTCTTTTCCATCGATGTACACTACAGATAAATTTTTTAAATAAAATTTTTGAATTCATTTTGTTTTTTGTTTAATATGATTTATATATTTTTTTAAAAATGGTTGAGATAGAGGTTGCACAAAAGGGCGGACGGTAGGGGGTGCTGTAGCTCCCTCTGGATTGGACATTACAGTCCTCCCACAATTCCCGCGCCCGAAGATAGGGCGTTTTTATTGATTTAATTATTTATTTCGATTTAATAAGAAGTAAAAGTTGACAGTCAAGTATTATGGACGGTGTAATAAATGAACAAAAAATAAAAATAAAATAAATAATCAGAAAATTGGAAATCACAGTGTAATTATTTTGCATATAATCAGCGAGGAAAAGCCGGAAGCAGCTCCACCAGGTTTGTTAGCGTTCTGAAAGGTACAGGGATGTATCGTTAAAAACAGGAAGGAGTTAATTTGGAAAAACTAAAACGTAGTTTCTCTCACCCCTTAATGTTACATCACTTAAGTGTGAAAGGAGGTGGGCATGCTGGGCATTACTAGATCATAGGCCTGGCGATGTTTCCGTGGCACCAAAGATCGGAAGCTACACCTTACAATGACATATATCAAGATAACAATTCAACATTAAAATATTAACAGATGTTATAATTATACATGTAACAGCTTCCCCTTTATGCCCGTCCCGTCATACACACAGAGGAGGCCAGTTGGTTGAATTTTCTGTAATAACTGTAATAAATGGTCAACACAAATTAGTACAGTGAGCTCCACTACTGGTCCATCAGCTCTCCGCATACACAGTAGAGCGCTCAACAGACTGCGTCACAAACAATCATTACAATCTGGCTTAACAACATATCAATCAATCAATCAAATTTTATTTGTATAGCACATTTCAGCTACAAGGCATTTCAAAGTGCTTTACATCATAAACACAAAACACGAAGGCATGCAACATAGAATACATATTACATTTCAAATGCAACTCTAAACAGGTGCGTTTTTACTTGAGATTTGAAGGAAGTCAGGGTTTCCGCTGTTTTACAGTTTTCTGGAAGTTTGTTCCAAAGTTTTGGTGCATAGATGCTGAATTTTTCTAACAAATGATCGTATAGTGATATTTGATTATTAATACTTCTTTAAAATTAATTTAACACAATCTGGTCTATTTCCTATAAATAAAAAAAAATAGACAGACAACAATCAAATTTAACTAATAAACTAATTAACAGTAACTTCTAACTGAAACAGGGAACAAACAAACTGACAAGCTGGTAAATACAGCAAACCGACAATACAGACAAACCGACAAAACAACTGAAGAAAAACTGACAAACATAACTGACAAAATAATTTACTAATAAATAATATAATATAATTACCTGTAATAAATGGTCAACACAAATTAGTACAGTGAGCTCCACTACTGGTCCATCAGCTCTCCGCATACTGTAATAAAACTCCACGTCAGTCTTTGAGCACACCTACTATGACTATTCAGAAAAGAACTGGATTTGGTGACTTACCACAGTAGAGCGCTCAACAGACTGCGTGGAATTTACGGTTTAGCTTTGTATTTATAGGCAATCAGTAGGGGGCGCCAAAAACCATTCATCACATGGTAATTACAAAACATATTTTAGCAAGAATTTCATCTTAATACCCGTTACATACATATCTATTTATTTGCCTTGAAAGAGTGATTTGTAACTGAACTATGTTCTACAACACGAGATGTCCTGCATAAATCTTTTACTATTTAGCTGGTGCAATTTGCAACTTCCATAATGCAATTTCTCTCGCGCACCAGCACGTGCCTTTCGTCACTCAGCCTTCGTCAATAGAAGTCATGGAAACGACGTTCACCTCGGCAACCCTATAAATGACGCTGACCTTCTGGAATCTTCCCCTTTGCTACGAGACTTTTGAAGGAGACCCCAGAAGAAGCATAACGCCTCTGAAGGTCTGAACCTGTTGAGAAGAATACTTTGCAAAATCTCGCTCAAGAAGCTCTTGCTGAAATAGCATTTGCTGAAGAACCCCGAAACCCGCGGAAGATGGATCCTGGCCCGGAGAAGCACCAGCAGGGTGACCAACTGGAAGGTTAATATTATTATTCTGCTACTTTCAATAAACGAAAACAAGTTATTACTAAAGTAATAATGAATGGTTTCGTTTATTTTGTGTTTGTGTGCGTTTTTATAAAGAAACACTGCCTGCTGTACAAAAAAATGACAAGTAGCATTCTTGCTAGCAGAGATCTTTCTTAACTAATGAGCCTTTTTCTTGACTGAATTTTCTGGAAATGTAAGGGATGTTAAATATATGTATTTTAGTTAATTATAGTCAAATTACTTAAATTCATGTCAAATTCTTGAAAAATGAGCTCGCTCGTGACCGTTATTTTTTGAAAAATGCTCTGATAAACACTCAGTTTCCATGGATACGCCAAATGAAAAACATGAGCTATTTAATGGTAAAAGAAACATTTAACAACGTGTGTTTAACCCCTTTGATGGCCTGTAAATGTAATCATTTTGCTTTGTTTATTTAAAGAAAGGAACATATGTTGTTTTTTTAGCATAATGTGGTAAAATCTGCAAATTGATTGAAACAAAGGTGCTATAAGTGAGAGCATCGGATTTAATGACTTCACAAAGCTTTATTAACACTAGTGTTCGAGAATAAATATTATGCTGATTTCAAAAGAAAGAAGAAAAAACTGTTGCGTTTCTGTCCATTTGTTGGAAAATTAGCTTGCTTTTGACTGTTATATTTTGAAAAATGTAGTGACACACACTGGGTATCCATGAACACTGAATGAAACGCATTAAACATTGAATATTACCTTAAAAAGCATTTTTAAAAATGTATTTTCCCTATGACACTATGATTCAATAGTTTAGTTTTATAGTTTTATTTTTTTTTCAAGATAGGGGAATGGTTTTGTGACTTTCGTGTTAGCTTATTGAAAGTTGTGGATAAAGCACTAGTGTTTGAGAAAAATTGTGCTTGTTGGAAATTTTTTTTTTGAAAAATTAGCTTGGAAATCTCCTTTTTTTTTTGTAATGTCCTGACAAAACATATTTTGTTTCCATGGCAATAACATCAGACTTGTAGAGGTTTATTAGTGTTCACACACTGATAAATCAGTGTTCATACACTGATGGTGATAAGATAATGGATAGTAGCCACAGCTGTTATCAAGCCATTGACCCTTCTGACCAACACCAGCAGGAAAGAAGTGTCTTGACCAAGGACACAACGATGGAGGCGGGCCATTCCAGGGCAAACCCCTACCACTGTTGCCCCAGTAATAAGCATCATTATGTGTTTGTGTGCACTCGTGTGTCTGTAGTAGTGATCATCAATAAAAGCTGGTTTTCAAATACAAAATAATGATTACTTTGTGAAAATCAGCTTTTATGGCTTTGGTGTCCAATTCTAGGCAAACTGGATGGTTCTTTATCCATTGTTTTTGAAAAATGCCCAAACATATTTAATTTCCATGGATATGTTGGGAAAATGCTATAAAATGACTTTAATAAAAAGTTAACAAAGACAAAACTTTTCACACATATACCTCCTATGATATCCCTAAATTATTTAGTTTATCTCTTTTAGATCTAATTTTAGAAATGTTACAAATGCTTACAGTGATTATCTTTTTTTTTGACAATATTTTTTATATATATTTTATATAAAAATATATGTTTGTTTTCCATGGATGCACTCATCTGAATACAAAAAAATAAGAAATTGTATTTAATTATCTACAGTTAACATTTTAGTAATTTAAAAATGCTAATGGACACAAATTATTTTTCAATTCTTTTATACTATAAAATGTATGTAAGCAGTAATTTAAGTTGAATAGTAGAGAATGGCTCATTTGTCTTGTTTTGGCTATGAAGATAAAACATACCTGTTCAGCAGCATCAAAGATTTATGTGAGTTATAGAAGGGAATTTCTTGCAGTGTTGTATATTATTCACACTAATGGTACAATGTAAGATTAAAGGTATTTTATTAGCTATTAAACAGTCTTCAACACAGTACATACTGTCATTTATATTTAGACATTTTCAAACCTGGGTTAATGTATTTTGGTATTTCAGTGTTCTCTTTAAACATTGCCTTTTATGAAGGTCTTGATACTGAGCTATAGTTTTTTCTTGTTTTCCTTCACAGCTTATAGTGTAGCGCTTCCAGCAGATGGAACCCCAACATTGGAGGAACATCAGGACGATGGTAAGGATCTTGGTAAGGTGTGGTCAAATGTTTTCCCTCATATGTCAGACACCATGGTTTCTGGAGGCCATGGAGAGGAGTCGACATGTAGTTCACCTCCGCAGTCTGTTGACTGTGCTACGAGCTCCAGTCTAGATGAGGTTGGTAATGACTGTGCTAGCAATTCTAGTGGTAGCAGTACTACTAGCTCCAGTGAGGACAAGGTAGGTAATGATTCTACAACCAGCTCCAGTGAGGACGAGGTAGGTAATGACTCTACTACCAGCTCCAGTCTGACAGTGGACCGTGCTTACCCTGCGTCACAGCTGCTTGAGATTCTTCCTCCAAATTTTAAATACATATGGAACATCAGGATGGCTCTGACACTTCAAGAGAGCATTTCTCAATTGGCTTCACTTGAATCCACACATGGACTTGACAAGCCGGAAGAGCCCATTTTGAGTCCAGATGACTCCAGACCTATTGGTATCTCACTACGTCATCAGGTAGGTTTGGTAGGGAATGTGGCTCGTGGGACATCTGTGACCGGCATGAACAGAAAGAGGACAAAGGACAGTGACTCTGAAGAGGAGCCCCCTTCAAAGAAGATGAGGGACACCGTTGCTATAGAGGAGCTCTCCTCCAAGAGGACCAGGGAGAGTGATGATGTTGAAAAGGAGCTCCTCTCCAAGAAGACCAAGAAGAGTGATGATGCTGAAGAGGAGCTCCCCTCCAAAAGGACCAGGGAGAGTGATGATGCTGAAGAGGAGCCTCCAGCCAAGAGGACTAGGGACAGTGTTTTTGCTGAAGAGGAGCCCTCTGCCAAAAGCACCAGGGAGAATCAAACTAGAGACAAGCTCCCTTCCAAGAGGACCAGGAAGAGTGATGATGCTGAAGAGGAGCTCCCCTCCAAGAAGACCAGAGACAGTGGTGCTGAAGAGGTACCTGTTCTCAGTCCCTCCTCAAATACGTTGTGTGAGGATCCCGTTCTGTCATTCCCTGTCCTTAGAGGGACGATGCATGAGAATTCTTTTCAGCCATCCCCTGTCTCCAGTCCATCAAAAGGGACTGGAGATTCTTTTCAGTCTTCTCTTGTCTCCAATCCCTCACCCATGACATTTTGGCTGAATCACATTAATTCACCCTTCAGTATTTCATCTAAGAGTGCATCTGAGGATGCAATTCTGTCCTCCCCTGACTTCAGTACCTCACCAACAATGCCAACTGACTGTCCCATTATGTCATTTCATCCCATCAGTTCCCCAGTCAGTGAAGATTCTGTTTCGTCATCCCCTATCCTCAGTTATCCACAAATGATGCCGTGTGAGGATCCCTTTGTGACTTCTTCCCCTGTCGTCAGTCCTTCACCATCAACATACTGCAAAATTCCAAGTCTGTCATTCCCTTGCATGTGTGTGTTTATGAAGTCTCAAACGGACAGAGAAAAGGAACCAACACCTTTAACTTCTGGAATTGGGTCTAACAGCAGAGTGAGTTCCAGACAAGTGTGGTTTAGACCTCGCTACGACTTGTCAAGTGATTCTGACTAGATTGGGATCTTGAAAAACTGAGAACCTTCCTGAGAAGTCCCATTAGGATATAATTTCTCTGTTGTTTTTATTAAAGCCAATAAAAAAATCCTGACGTAGCGTCTTGCACCGGGGCTCTTCTTTTTCCCGTTGTCAGATTTTTCATTTTAGGTGTTTGGGATTCTAATCACGCACTTCCCCACACTGTCCCTTACTCGCCTAAACAATTTACAGGCGAGTAAATTGTTCTTGCCTGTTCCTCCATTAATCCACTCTCAAAGTTTTTATCTTTCAGGTTTTAGCTGCTCGTCACTGGATTCTTTCTTTGTTGTCCATATGGTTCCTGTCCTCCTGGCTCCTGCTTGTAAGTTTTTGCATTCCACAACACATAATACTGCTTCCCTCCTGCTTGCATTAGGGAACATCAGGTTTACTAAATTAACACAGAAAGATAAACGATTTACTTTTGTTTATATGGCCATATTCATGTGTTGCAACACAGAAAGATCACAAAAAGAGAATAGACATTAAAAATGTACACACTAGTCTCTGATCTCAGATCCAGACTCCTCAGCTATCTGATGTTCCGATAATCCCAGGTTGGATCTCCTGAGCCTGCAATCCTCCACCTTAATCATCACCAGTCAGGTGGAGGAAGATAAGAGAACCCAGTTGATGAAAAAAGTACGAACATTTCTATCTACACAACATAACTAAGCATTTCAGATGTAGCTGCGTAGAGCTGGAAGTTAGAAAATGGTTCTGTCTGCTGTCCATGCATATTTTCCTCTTTAACTCT